CAGGGGCAGGCGGGGGGCGGGAGGGCACACAGCAGATACCCCTTTCCCTTTGCGGTCTCCATTTTGGGGGGGTTTTACTCCCCAAAGCTGGAAACACGTAGACCAGAGTCTATCTTAAAGGAAAAACCTGGTGGAGGTGGGAAAGGGGCCCAGAAGGGTGCTGGGAAGTGCAGAAGGTGAAGTTGATAAGGGCAGAGCGTCCCAGGTGAAACCACTTGACCATCCTGGGTTGAACTGGGCCAGGCAGAGGACCTCCCAGCTTGGGCTGCAAAGCAACACCATGGAGTGTTGTCCATGCTCTTCCTCCCGGATTTGCTCTTCCTCCTGGCTCATGTTCATGTGCTCTTGCAGACCAGGCGGGTAATTGCATTTTGAAGAAATGAGCCCGTGAAGCTCCTGGACCTGGCTTCCTGTGAGGCTGGCCAGAGTGCGGCTGAACTCAGTGACCCAACAGCCCCAGGTGGAGCACTGAGCCACATGTGTAATGAGTTGCCAGTCCCTGGGCTCTGAAAACAGAAGGGCTGCTTCAACAAAATCACTGCGCCTGATAGGGATTTTGGGCTCAGCCCGGCAACAGGATGAGCCGGGATGGCCATAGCCCTTCAACGCCAGGGCCGCAGCAGCAAGGAGCAAATACGGCGATGCTGCAGGCCGGAGAGCTCAGCCCCGTGTACAGGTGGGGAAAGCTGGTGCCTTCTGGCTCACCCTTGCCCGAGCAGCCACCCGGAGCCAGGCTTGCCCTCAGCGCTGGGGCAAGAGGACGTCTGTGGTCGGCAAGGGCACAACCGCTCTAGTGCTGACGATCGGTGTGCTGAGACGACGTTTGCGGCGCATCAGATGTCTGTCCCGTGCTTTGCATGCAAGATGGGTTGCTGGACTCCCGCAGCACTCCCCCTATGTGCAAAATTGGGAGACCAGGTTCAGGATCACCCGGCCCCTAGACCATCCTCCCTCGGACAGCCTCTGGAGCCTGCGTCCCTGGCTGGTTTGCCCCGTGCGCAGAAGATATAAAAGAAATCTTCCTCTCCGCGTGCAGATGATAGCACTGGGGATGGAGGGAAAGGCAAATGACCGCACATGTTCCCCAAGCATGGTTTTAATCAATGTTAACGTTAAAAGCACTTATTCAGGACGTTGGGATGCTCATCACCAGGCAGGCGAGTCGCCGGAGGAGCCTGCGCCCCTGCCAGTGCTGCTGTCGAGGCAGCGACGCCGCTCTGACTCCTCCCAAAAAAGCACTTTTTTTCCCTCCTTCCTTGTACAAATACGAAACGAAATCGAAAAACTCCATTTCTAGCCTGGCCCCAAGGATTTTGCAAAGAGTGAGGAAATGAAGAGAGGCCAGTACATCGCTTTGCTGCTCCTTGTTATTGATGTTTCCAGGCAAAAAAAAAACCTGCCGTGCTCGGCAGAGCGGGTGCATTTGGTACCTCCCACCCGTGTGCTCTCCAGGGAGGCGCAGTCTCAGTTCCTCCCTGCTACTTTTAGCTCTCCTCCTCCACGCTGATCAGGCACCGACAAGGTGCATCTGCAACGCTTCCAGGTTAAATTAAATCCGAATTAAGTCCCCAAGAGTGGATTGCTGTAGATTATCCTGGTGTGAGAGTCAGAGAAATTGGGCTTACCTGCCGGACGTGGGCATGGTCTCTGTTAATGGTTCATGAGCGCTTGCTCGGGCGCGACTCTCATTTCCCTCCCCAAGACAGGCTGGATGTGAAGGTTGTGGCGTCGAAACAAAGCCAAGGCTGTTCCTTGTCCGTCTGGTGCTGTGGTTCGAAGCCTGCATGAGCAGAGAGGGTCCCAGCCTGGATTAAAGACTCTCACCCCTGAGAAGTCGATCCTGCTTTCTCACGCCTTGGCCTGACCATCTAAGCTGGGTTTTGTCCTGCCCTCCAGCAGCTGGGGGCCGTTCCCAGCCGGTGCTATAATAAGCAGCCATGCAAGAGAGAAATCCCCACTGCGCTTTACCCTGACTTTGGCTCTCCGGGTGCCAGTCCAGCTAAAAAGAGCTGCTTTTCCTGGAGGACCCAGTGCCAGGAATCCACCTTTCAGTGAGATTAAAGGTCTGATCGCAGGCTGCTGGCCAGGCTCGCGCAAGCACTCTCCATCACGAGCTGCAGCAGACGGAGAGCTGGGAACACCTTTTTTACTTTTTTTTCAGGCTCCTGCAAGAATTTAATGGGCTGCCCTGGGTGCCGACACCTCCTGGGAGGTCCTAAAAGCCCAGTGGGGACCTGCTGGGACCCGCCATTGCTTCCGGCCTCTGGCACTTGGGGAGCCATGGGATCCCCCAGAGCAGCTGGAGCATCTCCCTCCACTCCGCAGCTACCAGGAGATGTCATCAAGCTGTCAAGGCATCCAATTTCCATTAGATGAAAATGTCTTTACCCTTTAACAGGGATTTGGCAGCAGAGGGGCCGATGGGTCCCAGTAGGGACCCTGGTGTGGCCAGTGGAGCCGGCACCTGGGAGGGTGCCGGGCATCTCGGTGAGGGTGGCATCTCCTGCGGGACGGGGAGGTCTTCTCCTGGTGTCCTCTTACCCGTCGTGGCCATCCTTCCCTCGATGGGGATGGCCCTGGAGATTGGATACCGGGAATCGTTGGCTCCCCGGCCTCTCAGCAGCTCCTTGTGCAGTTGCTGGCTCTGGGTGTCCCACCAGGGAAACAGGGACGAAATAAAGCGTGAAAGAAAAAGACAAAACCAACGTGTAAGGTTGTGTCAGTACAGCGTGAGCAAGCCTGGCTGGCACCCGGGGGAAAAAATGGTGGAAAAAACTGTAATGGGGCACCGTTGCGTGGTGGCACCGTTGGCTGCATCCCACGGTAAACGTGATGGACGCTAATAAAAATAAAACGTCCCTCGAGCTGTTGCCAGGATCCTGGGATGTCCCCAGCTGGTTTGGGTGGAATTAACCTGGTTCAGGGGAAGCGACGGCCGCAGAAGGGGACAGCTGCCAGCAGCCCTGGGCGAAGGGGTCCGAAAGGATTGCAGCGGGTGGAAAAACAGACCCCAGCAGCTCTTTGCCGGAGCGAGCAAGGACAAGCCAGGGAGAAGGAGAGGGCAGGACGCGGCTCTAGTTTTCGGCCGCACGTGCTGGGTGGGTACCGACCTCCGTGCTGCCCCGGCACTGACTCTCTGCTCTCTGTTTTCTCTCACAGGGGTGGCAATAAGCACTTACGCCAAGTACTGTTACAACAAGCTCCAGAAAGCAGCCTTGACGGGAGCGAAGAAGGTATCGTCCGGCCTCGCGCGGCCTTGTTTCTTTTCCATTGTCTTGCAGCTTTTTTGAAGAAGCGCAGGAAAGTGCACGGCACGCTCCGCTTCCCCAGGACCTGCGTGTCCAAGGGCCGGTTTGACGTGCGAGTCCGGACGCAGGGAACCCCTGTGCGATGCTGGGCGTCCCACGGTGCAGGAAGCAGCCGGAGGGGACCGGGGGACAAGTGCGGGCA